ATGATGCAGTGCTAGGATTAAGGGTGCAGTGCTAGGATTAAGGGTGCAGTGCTAGGATTAAGAGTGCAATGCTAGGATTAAGAGTGCAATGCTAGGATTATGGGTGCTGGGTCAGGATTAAGGGTGCTGGGTTAGGGCTAGGGTATGAGTGCTGTCTGACCTAAGCGCAGGTAGCCTGGATACAGTATGAGGGACAGAAAGAGGCTTACGGCTAGTTGCTTATAGTTTGCTGCTTGCTGCTTGGTGCCTTCTGCCTTCTGCCCACCCCACCATGAACTGTTTCTCCTCTCTGCTGGTCCTCTGTCTCGCCACCCAGCTTCAGAGACAGCTGACTATGGACTGAAACCTCTACAACCAAAATAACCCTTTCTTCCTTCAACTTTGGGTGTCTGGTATTTTGCCTCAGCAATGAGGAAAAGTGACTAAAACACTGTCCCCCTCATTGTGTACATATTCAGCTCTGTGGATTTGGGTTTTCATGTCTTTTTTTTTTTTTTTTTTTTTTTTTTTGTGGAACCGGGGAATGAACTCAGATCCTTGCGTTTGCCAGTCAAACGCTTATCCTACCGAGCCATCTCCCTGGCCCTTCATGTCCTTTTAAAGGCTGTCTTGCTACATTCAAGTTGTTTTCAGTTTCTGTGCTTTTTTTTTTCTGTTGATATTTCTGAGATTAATTTGTCAATCCCAGCTTAAAAACCCTGAGGAGGTAAAGGTAAAGCCCTCCTCCCCATTTAATGGAAAGTATAGTAGAGATCACTTGAGCTGCGATAGCTCCAAGTCATTGGCGTCTTTAGTCCATTTTTTCTTTATTTATTGAAACTTCTCACTCTTCCTTCTAACTCATCCACTGGCAGATACAGGCTGTGTTAGGATACATCCTTGGGTCCTCAGGGCTCTGAGGATCGCAGGATCTGAGTTCACATAAGGGCTGGCCAAATAGCTCAGCGGATTAAAGCGCCTGCAAGCAGGCACAGGGGCCAAGATTTCGATCCTGGGCCTGCTGTGCTGGCCCTGCCCCTAGGCACACTGAGATACTGTTGAGACTGGGCGTGGTGGCACATGACTGTAATCCCAGCACTTGGGAGGCTGTAAACAGGCAGATCACTATGACTCCGATCGAGTAGTGAGACCCTGAACACTTTCCCTAAAGTAAAAAAAAAATTTTAAAAATTCATGTAACAAGCTGGGTGTGATGTGCATGCCTGCTGCAATCCCAGCATTTAGGAGACTAAATCAGAGGATCGCTGTAATTTTGAGGCCAGCCTGAATGGTGAAACCCTATCTCAAAAGGAAAAAAAAAAAGTTTCAGATAATAAGTGTTGGTGAGGATGTGGCGAAATGAGAACCCTCATACACTGCTGGGAAGGGTGTAAACAGGCAGCTGCTTCGGTGCTATTGCAGTTACACACCAAGGGTCTATTCAGGAAAAATGAGACTGTGTCGGAACAGCCCTGCGCATACCTGTTCGTGATGTCATCATTCCCAATAGCCAATGGGTAGAAAGAGATTTTTTGATGAATGGACAAATAAAATGAGGAATAGCAATATTATTCAGCTAATAGAAAGGAATGAAATCCTGATACACTCTACAATGTGGGAAAATCTTGAAAACATCACGCATTGGGAAGCAGTCACAGGCCATATAATTCCATTTACATTACATGCCCAGAACAGATAAACCTGTGGGGATAGAAAGAGATTAGTGGTCGGCAGGGCTGGAGTCTTAGAACTGACAGCTGCAAGATACAGCTTCGCAGACTGACTGGTGCCCGTCGCCCACCTGTGGGAAGGTAGTGAAAACACCGAGCTAACAGGAAGTCTAGGCCAGTTACTTGGCAGTGCTGCGCGACCCTGTGCATCAGAGGTGAGAGGGGAAGACCAGATTAGTACAGCCAGAGGACTCCAGAGCCTACTGTCACTTTGCAGAGCCTCATCTCCCCCGTGGGGCCAGCTGCAGAAACTTTTCACAAACAGGCGAAGGAATGTGCATAACTAATCTGGGGTAAACAAACTTGCTGTCTCTATTGCCTTTAGCACTCACCAAACCCTTAAATTCACACAATGCTAGCCAGTAATATCGCAGGTGAAGGATCAAAGAACAGACAGTGCTACAGGTCTTAGTTTCTTTTTTTTTTTTTTCTTCTTCTTCTTAGTTTCTTTTGCTTGTTTCTGAGGCAAAATACCAGACACCCAAAGTTAAAGGAGGAAAGGTTTACTTGTCTCATAGTTTGTAGAGGTTTCTGTCCATACCTGGCTGGCTCCAAGCCAGGTGGGCATGCAGAGGGCCATCAGAGAAGAGAAAAAGTGTGTGGCAGGGGGGAGGCCGCAAAGCAGCAAGCCACAAGGGACAAGTGACAAGCACCGAGTGACCACCGACCCCCCTTCCATCAAGTCATCCTATCGAGGCTTCCCACCCTTAGGGTGGGCAGCACTCACGTTCATGGTGGAGCAGCCTTAATCCAATCATCGCACACCAGGAATCAAGTCCACCAGCCCATCCCTGATCCCAGCATCACACAACCTAGGTCCAGCCACCTCTGAAAAGCCCCACCTATTAAGTTTTGGGGGAACCTATTAAGTTTTGGGGGAACAACTACATACAAGCTGTAATACTGTGTGGTTAAATCATAAAGCTGGGCATGGTGGCACATGTCTATAATCTCAGCACTTGGGAGGCTGAGGCAGGAAGATTATTGTGAGTTTGAGACCAGCCGGGGATGCATAGCAAACCCTGTCTCAAAAAGACAAAAAAATACAAAAAAAATATTTTTTTAAAAAATCCTAATAAATACGAGGGCTCGTTCTGAAAGACCTGCAGAGGTTTTGGGTTCCACTGAGATGGGAAAATCCAGTTCTGAAGACAGACCTAGTAAATTCCAACCCTACTTCTATTTGCTAGCAGTAACTCCTTTGTAACAGTGTGCAGCTGACAATCTCTATCCGGAAATGTTGCGATTTTTGTTTGAGACTTTGTAGCCCAGGCTAGTCCCAAATCAGGACCCTCCTGCCTCAGACTTTGCAGTGCTGGGCATACAGACATGCACTACCACTCCAGGCTAGTCTTTCAATTTTTATTTTGTTTGTTTCGCTTTTGTTTTTTTGAGACAGGGTCTCACTATGCAGCTCAGCTTGGCTTTGAACTCACTATGTAGCCCAGGCTGGTCTCAAACTCACAGGAAAGCTCCTACTTCAGCCTACTAAGTGCTGGGATTGTAGGTGTGCGCCACCACACCTAGCTTATTGTGATTTTGAATTTTAAAAATCTGCAAGGTGATTAATACTCAGCAGTGTATGATGCACACATTTCTTTTCTTTT